TTTTCTCTTAACTTCCGTTCCCGCTCTTCGCTGAAGTACTCTGTTCTGTTTAAGATCATGGTCTCACAAAAGTGAGAGTATACTGCTCCTCTTAGCTGAAACATGTGAGGAATTACGAAGGAATTTGAACGGATCTACAAGCGTTTGAACAAAATTATGGATGGCCAGGTTAAAATTAGAGCATTTTCATGAACAAAAGAACGGAAATCAAATCTTGCTCAAAGAACTTAGAACCAGAACTACAAATCACAGTACATAAATTGAAGACGAACATAACTTTGGCATGAACACTGGTAAAACTAAAGCGTAACTCTAAGCTTGAGTCAAGCATAAAGTTACGCTTGAAATGAAGCATACTCTAGAAATGCCCCCATGCATTTAGATAGAGTTAATCTTGGCGGATGAGCCTGTCACGCTTGATTTCAAGCGTGACCTGGTTAAGCTTGAAAACCCAGGGTAATACTACGCTTTAGTTTAACCAATGAAATTATGGAGAAATTAGAAAACAACATGTGATAAATTATCCGTACCCAGAACGTGTTCCGTAACCTTCTTGTCAATCCTCTTGGTAGGGGTTACAGTCTCCTCCGTGCACCTCCTTGGTCATCAAGAGGCACGGGATGCAGAGAACACTGTAAGACCTACGGACAAGACTGATAAGAGGTCACGGAAAATGTTGGAATTGGGGTACGGAGAATCATGGCAAAATAATAAACTGACCTTTTTTAGTTTTTTGTACGTGGATTCAAATAAAGTAATTTTCAAGAAATCGCTAACTAGAAGTGACGCCGAAATCATTCAAAACTGAACAGCACCACATGGCCCAAGGGCAGGTTATATGGACTGGTACGAGAATTAGTGCGGGAGTTGCCAACGACATTAGTGAATTGTGATAAGTAGAAAACACTCCATCGATGAAGGTGACATTTTCGCCATCTACACTGTGGCAAAAAGCTACGGAAAATTCTGTAAACAGCTTGTGGTAATTCTCCGTAGCCCCCTTATCAATATTCTCCGTAGGCTCTTACAGTATTTTCCGTAGGACAGCACAGTATTCTCCGTAGGACCTTACAGTGATCTCCGTAGGACTATACAGTCTTCCAGGTCCTACGGAGAAGACTGTGCGGACTTACAGAGAATACTGTACGGCCCTACGGAGAATACTGTAAGAGCCTACGGAGAATATTGATAAGAGGGCTACGGAGAATCCTGGCAAAAAAAATAACAGAATTTTCCGTACCTTTTTGCCACAGTGTACGCGAGCTGTGTAGTAGCGCCTCTTCTAGAACGCCTACAACAGACCTTGGGTTTGAAAGCAAGCGTCGAGAAGAAATTCTTCTTTGGACTTAAATAAACGCAAGACGGGTGGAACGGCGTGCGCTTGAAGCTATAAGCGTACACTAGGAAAAGTGAAGCGTAACTGAATGCTCAATTCAAGCATAAAGAGTCTCTTGATCAAATTGCGATTGATACGACCGTTCCCCCATCCATTTATATTGGAGGAATCTGAGCGGATGAGCCTGTTACGCTTGATTCAAATGTTAACTGATTACGCTTGGAAACAGAGGGCAACATTACGCTTTTGTTTCACCAGTGTGGCATCTCTTACTGTTGCCAGCCCCTGCTCTACATGCACCACTCCGGCCGCTGCTCCAGGTTCCAGGTTTCTCCACGACTGTCAGTTTCAGAATTCCATTCCGAGCCTTGTTACCGACAATGAGCTCAAAATGTCTAGTGGTCAGAAGTCTCCATTTAACAGAGAGTTCCGGTGCAGGCGACTTGATAGATTAAACTTCACGAAATTTCTGCATCTTCAATGTAACCGTGTTCGTATGTCGAACAAATTCTATACCGTTATTTGCAAGGGGGTACGCACTCGCGTTAGAGTCGCGTCACTCTGTAATAGCACGCGTAATAGTAAGCGTAATAGTCGCGTAATAGCCGAAATTCTCCAAGTTTTACTTATTTTTGGAATGTTTACTGCCAAATTCCGATTATATTGAGTCGCACTGTGTAATAGTCGGGTCGCACAGTTTGGTTACGTAGTGAAAAGTTCAAATCGTTGGATGATAAGGGTGCCCTGTGCCAGCGTAATGTGTTGCCTTGCCTAGGCCTCAAATTAGGGTCTTACACCGGGTCAATGAAAATACCATCTGATACCATCAGCGAAGGGATGTGCTAAGTTCGGTACCGAATCGAATGGCATCAGTCAAGAGTCGATTCGGAGTCGGATCGGCACAGTTCGATCTCGCATCATTCTTCATCATCAGTCTTCGAACTGCACTCTCAGAGCCATATTGACTTTTTTGTTCATAGCAGCAGCAACATTTCCTAAGTAGCATATGAATTTTTTTACCCAACAATATTACTTAGAAATTTGTTCATATGGCACGAATAAAAAGTCCATGGTATATACAATATTTTTAGTACATTACTAACAAATTTGTTGATAAAATTGTTGATAAATTTGTTAATAAAAATTTACAAGAATAATCACTGACAAAATTTTTGTTGTCACTGAACGACACTTTTTATGCTATTTTTTCAGCGACAAGATTTATTTTGGAACGGATAGCTTGTTGGACCACTTGTTAGTCAGCAACAAGTTTTGCATGTCCGTAAAAATATTTGTAATGTCTGCAACAAATATTGATCATGCTCATAGAATTTTATTTGTATGTACTGACTTTATTTATTAGTTACTACTGACAAAATATCTTTGTAGGCACTAACAAATTAGTTCCAGAAGGCCTCCATACTTCTTTTAAACAACTAGTGACAGATTTGTTAGTAAGGCTAACATTCAAAATATCAATACGTTTACGTTACACACAGATTTCTACCAGTAAGATACCTATAAAATTGTTCATAAATTACATAGAAATAATTTTTAAGTAAAAGTACAGACAAAAATTGTCAGTATGGCTCTGAGAGTGTGAGCTGTACAGATAAGGAAAAAAGTCCAAAACGATAGGAGAGTTTGAGTAGCATCGAATCGTTCACCTTGATTCGAATTGGGTTCGACAACTTTTTCGTGATTCGCTTCGAAAGGTAATTGCTTGGCTCTTAATATCTTTACCTCGATCTCTAACTTAAACTTGAGTGTTAGAGATTCTATTTCAATTCAAAACGAAAATCATTGATTCGACACCCCTACATCAGAGTAAGGAAGTGTGGGGCAGTTCGTAATAAGCATGAATGGAGGCACCTGAAGGAATTCCCCCCCATTTAAAAGTGAGAGAAAACCGTCTCTTACTGACAGGTAAATGATTTTGGGTAAGTCCACGGCAATATGCGTAACACCTTGGACATTTTCACGCCACAATCTTGCAGCTTCAAAGACTGCTGTTTGCAGAAATTCATTTGTGGAAAGATATCAAAATCCCCTCCCATCTCTTTTCACCGTTGAGACAACTCCAGCAACCGGGAGTAAGTTACTTTCATGTACATACTTGCAAAGTTTGGAAGTTTTGCACTGACAAAAATGGAATGGCTCACTATCTGATCCATGAAGCGGAAAAAGGGGGATAACTCAATTTTCATCATTGTTCAGGAGAAACAAACAACGGTTTGCAGGGTGAACTTAACCCAATCAGATGAATGATGCAATTGCACTTTTGGCAAGAAAGCCCAAGAAATAACTGAAAATTTTCAAAAGTGTAGCATTCCTCTGTGATTGAAATCTTTACGTTGGAATAGACTACGGAACCATGTTTACTTAGTTCTCCTAAACCAGGCGGAATTTGGAGACAATTTAAGTGGAACTGAGGTCTGCGTAGAGTCTGGACCTCTTTTTTCCCAACTAGTAATGGGGAGCTAAGTTGAGTTGGTTCATTTTACATAAGATTCACAAAGACGGTTTCAGGAACTAATGTCCGCAGAAAAAATGTCTACTAAATTTATGTCCATTAGGAAATAATGTCCGGTGAAGAAACATGTCCGTGTGGAAAGAATGCCCCCGAATTATTTAGCCGCAGTTTTAAATGTCCAACTATGTGTTTATCCATAGTGACATAAATAAACTAAGGCCGTTCTCACATAATTTTATTTGGCATGGCTTCCAAATGGCTAGGATTCATCTAGTATCATTGGCTTGTCATTTGCCAATCGCTGGCACGGCATCAGACAATCAATGCTGCACCTTGATAATGTACGTAATTGCCTCTAGGTACCTGAAATTCCTTGCCCCTTTCGTTGTAATCCTCATAGCTATTGGCCGGAATATGAATCGTGCGTAGGCACTTTTCGGTCTTTTCATTCATGGCCTTGTTGACATGGATGTTTTCAGCCCTAAACTGAACAATTCTTTAGATCATGTTCCTTAGACCTCCACTCGTATATGAACTTCCAAATGTTAGCTTGATGCACTGCTATGAGTTTCTGGAACTTGGAAGCAGAGCCGCAGTGCCACTACTGTCGGCCATCTTCGTTCGGTGCCGGAAAAACCTCAGGCCTTTTTTGGGGGTGGTCATTAAATTATGGGACATTCTACCTTGGACATTACGTGCATGGATGAAAAATCGATGGACAAAATCGGACCGGACATTTACCTGCGGACATTTCTTCACTGTACCCACAAAGACACAAGTTGAGTCTTCTCCTGTTGCCGACCATAAAAGGGGTCCAGTGGAGTTTTATCAATTTTTCATGTGGATTTTCTCTTAAGCTACTAGGAATGAAGGAAAACAATTTGGTGTAGTGATGCAAACCATCCTGAGGCACGATTATAGTATAAAAACTCAATTTGGAGAAAAGTTGAATTATTCCATTCTTCCGCTTCCCGGATCATCTAGGCATTGAGTAAATGAAAGTGTGTTCCCTAGTCTCCAAAATACACCAAGTGTATTCTACTTTCAACAACTAGCTGGTTATGGAATATCTCAAAGTACGTAGGTAGGGTTCCAGTTTTTCGATCGCACAGTTTTACCGGTTTTACCCTAAAGCATGGAGCTCCCGGCGCTGTTCAAGTCGGAAAAGGACAGGAAAACAATAAGACAAAATGAATGTCCATGTAAGGGCTTTATTTCTCTAAATAACACAAAGTGACGAACTCGTTTTTAAGTAGACAAAAGGGCAAGAAAAAGTAAAAAAAATGAAAGAAATAAGTGATGTGTCCATGTACTCGCACATCTCCAACCGACACACAAATGACAAATGTTCAAACCGAATGAAATGAGTCCTTCGAGATATTATGTGCAAATCAAGCGAGTCCACTACGATGATACATATTCAAGCAGCATGAATGGGACCATCACAACAATTCAAATTGAAAACGAAAAGCCCATCAGAAAGTTGACGCCCAGGTATTAACTCATGACGCCAGCAGTCAGCCACAGCGTCAGCCTGAAGTGGGAGGCCAACACCGCTAGGCGCTGTCCGCAGCCTTCTTGCCCCACTGCACGCCCACTCCGCGCCGGGCCCACTCCTCCTGGCACTGCGCCACGAGGGTCGCCAGCTCGGAGCCTTTGACGGCGCGCCGCAGAGTCGGGCTGAGCTGCACGCGCTTCAGGGCGGCCAGGTCCTTGAGCAGGGCGAGGTGGCGGGGCTCCAGCTCGGGGTTCTCGTCCAGCACTACCTCCTCGAGCGAAGGGTTCTTGGCCAGGATCTGGTGCAGCGCGTCCGCGCTCCAGCCGCAGCCCTCCAGCGTCAAGCACTTCAGCGAGCAGCACACCCCGGCCACGGCGGTCAGCACCTGCGACAGAAAAAAAGCGTGTCACAGAGGTGCCGGCCAAAAATGTTTTGGTTCAAATTTTAGACGAGGCGTCACAGTTTTGGAGTCTTAAGTGCACACGAAAGTTTTGTACAAAATTGTTCGTGGTTTCGTACAACAGTGGGAAAATATGTGCAGTTGTCGTACAATAATTGTACAAAAAGTTCGTGTGCACAAGAACTGTGATTGTGCCCGCACATGGCAAGAAAAACACACCCATACAGGGCTAACGAGTTACGCGTAATTTCAATGCCTTCTAAAGGCACGTCATAATTTTAATGCCCTGTCCAAAAAATTGAACTTATATTTGAGCACTAGTAGAACAAACGCATAAAAATTACGCTTAATAGGGCATAAACACTCATTTCGCGCCCTTTACGGGCGTGAATCGTGTTAAGCCCTTAAGACGGGGGCAAATGGTACAGGACTTAAAAGCAAAGTTTTAATGCCCTTCCAAAAGGCACGATTCACGCCATTTCGAGGGCGTTCATCATTTACGCCCTTGAAGGGCATAATTTTTTTGCCTTTGTTCCGCCAGTGAGCTCTAAAATGCGAAGTCTTTCTGTAAGGTCATAGTTTGCCAGTGAAGTTGATGCACTTGCCTGGTTCCAGCTGGCTTGCGCCTTCCGCACGAGTTTCTCGGGGGCCTTGGCGAACAGCGCGAGGGAGAACGGCGCCTTGCTGGGCACCGCGAACGTGAGCTGCTTGAGCCCCGCCCAGGTCGCCGGGGCCGCGGCGATGACGGCCGCCGCCTTGACCACCGCGTCGCTCTTCGGGGCGGGGGTGTGGTGGAACACCACCGTGGCGCCCTGCAGCTTCGACATCTTCTCGGTCACGTGCAGCAGCTCCACGCGCACCCCGATGGACCGCACGTTGTGCAAGCCCGCCAGCAGGTCCACGATCTCCAGCTCCATGCGCGTTTTCTAGACAGCCCAAGAGCAGCGTTAGCATACACTCCATAGGAGAGGAGAGAAGAGGAGGGAGAAGAGACTCAAGCGAAGTGAGAGAGAAAAGAGAGGATGAAGGGGTAGAGGGAGAGAGAGAGAGAGAGAGAGAGAGAGAAGGCCAGTGACATGTGCAATTTCCAGGGAATTCCTGCAAGAACTAGGAACCGTTTCTACCGTGTGCACGCTAACGAACGCATGCTTAGCGCCGTATAGTAGCTCCAAGCTAAGCACACACTAAGATTCCAAACGCTATGAGCGTGGCATGTATTGTGCAATGAATTAAAATATCGCACAATGCGTGCAATGTCACAGCCACATTGCCCCTCACGTGCAAAGCCACAGCCAGTGGCGTGCCCCCACCACTGTCCGCAGAAAAGTCCCCTCACCTGGACGCAGGCCATGTCCAGCACGGTCACGGCGTCCCCCTTGGCGGCCAGCAGGTCCACGAGGAAGTCCTCCTGCTCCTCCTCGCGCTCGCCGCCCCCCGCGCTCTCGTACTCGAAGTCCTCGTAGTCGGGGCCGCCGTCGATGGCGGCGCGGAACTGCTGCTGGAACCAGTCCGTTGTCAGGTGCAGGTGGAGGCGCTTGAGGGCGGGCAGCGCGGCGGGCGCCTGCTTGGTTGCGGCGGAGGGCAGGCCGTAGTGGTCGTCGACGCTCAGCTCCCCGCGGTAGGTGTAGTAGTGCAGGGACAGCGGCATGTACGTCAGGCGCAGCTCCTCCAGGTGCGGCATGCTGGACACCACCTGCAGGGACACCGTTTAACTATGAAGTCCACAACGAATCGTCATCACACTTTCGACGCCTCCTAACAGAATAAACTTAAGGGGAGGTTCTGGTGAAAATCTTACTGTTTTCGAAATGGATCCCACTGGCATAATTTGTTCGGAATATAAAATCTTTCTTCGAGGCGACCAAAATTTGACTACTGAAGGCACATCCCAGGCTCTGAACCCAGTCGAAGAGTCTCTTTGAGCGTTTGACTAATCTTAAAAAAATCTTCTTGCGCACACTATTTTGACGGTTGACCTTGACATTTTTTACTTCTTCGATCCATTTTCGAAAGATTCCGGCATGCATAGCTCAAAATTTCCATTACAGTATTAGTTGTAAGCTTTTTAAGCTGAAAAGTCCCTAAAATTTGTCTATTTTGTACATTCTATATTATTTCTATGCTTGATTAGAAAGCTTGCGAATAAAAATGTTATTAACCTTTTGAGTTGTGCATGCCGGCATCCTTTAAAAATGAATCGAAGAAGTGAAAAATGTAAAGGCCATCTTTTACGACAAAATGGTATGCGCAAGAAGATTTTTAAAGTTATGGCGTAAATGGGAGAATAAGGCTCTGAGACTGGATTCAGGGCACAGAATGAAAAATTTTAATAATAACTTGGTAAGACAACAAATTTTCACAGTGGGACTTATTTTGGAGAAAATAGCAACTTCACCAGAACCTCCCCTTTCTTGTCAGCAGATCCAAGACAATCTTATCTGTCAGAGCGGACAGAGTGCACTTCGGTGCGTATCTGCATTTCTGATGAAATTTTGATCCAAAAGAGAGTGAAGTTCTGATAGTTCATTAGATGCAATGATGGAAACCATTGCTCAAAAATAATATAAGAACCCAATTTGGAATTTCAAGTAATTCCTTCCCTCCGCTTCGTGGATCATAAGTTCGCAACGTTCCGCATGCAGAGTGTGAAAGGCCACGAAGTCGTCCACTTGCGTCCAGACTGCGAGGACTTCAGATTCTTCGAGTTCCGACTAATGGTTTAGTTAAGCCACCAGTGTGCAGGACCGAAAATGTCTATTCGACTACAAGCGCCACCTAACAGCCGCTTGGAGCGCACGGCCGCTCGAACTGCGGCACTCAGAGGCAACCTCACCTTCCAGATGCAGTCCTTCTTCTTGCCGTTGTTGGGCTGCAGCAGCAGGCGGTTTGTCATGCTCAGCGTGCGCATGCTTTCCTTGTAGCTGGCCAGCAGTTTGACCAGCAGAGGCGAGTACATCTTGCAGGTGGCCCACTGGGCGTCCTCCAGGTGAAGGGCGGCCACATCCTTAAAGTGAAAAACAGATTTGTTGAGTGGTAAACAATGAACAGTAGACCAGCAACATGACGAAAGATCGAGGGGTCAATAATTCAGGGTTCTCGTGCACACAAGAGTACATGAGTACCGGTGAGTACACTGAACAAAACTTATCAATTTCAAAACTATCAACGTTTTTGGCCCGCCCCTCTATTCAAAAAATAGGGGTGGGGGGGAGGTTTTTGTTGGCGTCTGTGTACAAGGAAGGAGTTGAGCTAGAGTAACCAGATTTGGAGGGTACTTCAGGAGTACCGTCCCAACAAATAATCCGGGGGTGCAAATCCCGTCCGGGTCGCACAAGGGCTGCTGCAGGTGCATCATGGTTTACATGAGCGGGAGGGGGATTTCCGCCATTATTGGTGCTAGCAGGGCACATAGGGGAATTTTTGGAATCGGGGCGACGAGACAAGATGGATGGACCTGGTCCCGACCCCATCGGCCGCTTTTGCAAGTTGGCCAGATCAGAATCTTCAAAAATTTTCAGCAAAAATTATTAACAGTGCGCTATTTTAAAAATGTGAGTGCACTGAACAAAAAAAATTGAACACATAAGAAAAATTGTGATTTCCCCCAGATCGCGTTTGGGCCTTTCAGATTTTTACAATAGCACGTTGCACGGGTTGCGATAAGTCACATCGGGGCTACCCCACGCGTGAAGCTATCACTGCAGTGCTGAATACATGAAAAGCTTAAAACAGATAGAATTGATAAACTGATTTGGCGGTACGGGCTCGCAATGCATGGTCTTGTACCCCCCCCCCCCTCCATGTTCGGAACTTTACCCTCATCAAAGTTTCCTACCTTGGTGCCGTTGCCCAGGGCCTTGAGCACAGCCTCGATGTGCTTGTCCTTCTTCACCTCGCAGAACAGGTCGTCTTCCTTGCGGGTCCGCATGAGCTGGGTCAGCGACAGCCGGGCGATGCGCGTCGCCGCCGCCACCGCCGAGGCGAACTCCTCGTCTCGGAAGCGCACGTACTTGACGCGGGCCGTCCCCGGCTGCGCCTGAAAATTAGGTTTATTACAGAAGTGAAATAAGATATATTTAAACAAAGAAGTGGCAAAGTTCATACGTTAAAACTGGGCATTTAATTGCAGAACACGCTGAGAACACAAGCAACCAAGGCGTTACTGGATGCAGTAATCAAGCATTTAGTAACGCATGCATATGTTACGCTTGTACTGTTAAATACACACACTCAAGGTGAGGTTCTAATAAAATGCTGCATTTTTCAGATTGAGCCCCAGGTAAAAATTAATTGCAGTTAGGTAGTACCACACAGGTACTGTAACGGGATTTTACCAGGTTAGGAGCCCAGTAACTTTCTCTAATTCCAGCTTCTTTCAGAAATATCTCCAAACATTCACCTGTGCAAAGCATTTTTAAAGTAAACTGACATTAAACTGAAGTTTGCATTGATGCTACATCAATAATCTAAATATTTTTTCACTTTCTTGGCTCACATACAACAAACTGTCATATCACGGAGTCATTGAACACAACAAATTAATATTGGCATTGTTTTTCAGAAAATAGTGACTAAAATATTAAGATTCAACTATATTGAAATTTTGGTGACATGCTGTCATAAAATCACAGCTTACAATCATGTTATGGTCCCAGGGTCTTAACAAGACAACGGTTCAGTAACTGAACCAAAGATGCGAAAAATGCTCGCATCAACAGTTTACGGTGAAATGTTTGAGTAGGTGACATTTAAAATTGGCGACCGTGGTTAGCGTAGAATTCCTCTTGGACTGGATTTTGGACAAGGCATTGCTCTCTGAACTTCATGTTTTACAATTTACAATAAAATACTCCAAAATTATAATGAACTTTCATTGTGGAACTCAGTTTCAAGAAAGTAAGATTTTCAGAAATAACTGCCAGGGACAGTTCGGTTACCTGACAATGCTTTAGCTTGTAACGGAACCGAACAACCAACTGGGTTTGGGACTGACTGGGTTGACTGCATTAGGGAACTGACAAGTGCCTCTAAGGAAGATTGTTGTCCGCACTAAGATTTCAAATTTTTAACAAGTCATTGCATTGAGACCAACATCAAAGAAAATAAGAATCCCCACCAGACATGAAATAATCTCGTTGTCCACAGGAGTCATGGGAAGATACAACCACGAGGTACAATATACTAAATGTTACAGTAGAGATAGATTACGACACACTTGAGTTTTTAAAGCAGATGAACTTTGCCAACAACTTAATACCTGATTTAGACCAAAATAGAGAGAGATGTACAGTTTTTGTATAAAAATTGTATGCTATCTTTTCATTAACACAAATAAAAGTGACGTCTAGTGCGTAATTGAACATAACATTTTGATAGGCATCGTACAAAAACAGTCAATGTGTACGGACACTCTGGAAACCTTACAAACTACTTTGGGCCTTTCAAAGAAAACCGTCTTTAAAAAGCAAAGTAAATTGAGCATACATAAGGTAAGAAAGAAAATACTTCACAATTAGCGAACTATTTCTTCATACGGAAAAGTAAATTTAATTGTGCTTTGTATGCACTCTAAGCACTTTATTAACTCTTTGTTCATTTTGTCAGTACTTACGCAAGTAATTGGTGCAACCTTAATACGTACTTTTTCTTTTTAAAACAACCACTTAAGAAATATTAAATAATGTACTGACAACTTGGTTTTGTACATCATTCGGCAAAGGGTATTTAGACCTTCTGACTTAGGAATTACCAAGTATTATTGATGCTTTTACGTTACGTTAAATTACCAAGTATTATTGATGCTTTTACGTTACGTTCAGTTAAATTACCGAGAATTATTGATGCTTTAGCGTATTTAATGAGAAAAAAAAGTTAAGAACGTGCTGAGTGTGAGCTCAAAGTACTTCGCAAGGTTTTAAGCGTATTTATAGAAAGGTCAGTAAACAAGGTTGAAGCAGGCGCATGGACTCACCTGCTCCGCCTCGTCTTCGCTGCTGCTGCTCTCCACGGCGTTCCACACGTACACCATCTCGTTCATCTCGTGGTCCGTGTCCGAATCGTCCTCGTCGGAGTCCTCGTCGGAGGAGCGGTCGAGCCGCGCCTCGCCAAACTTCAGGTCGCTGACGCCGCCCATCTTGGCGGCCATGCCGGACAGGGCGCGGCGCGCGAAGCCGTCCAGGTCGTCTCCGGGACTCTCCTCGCCACTGTCGGAGTCGTGGCTGTCACTGCGCAGGAAATTGAAATTGCAACACACACTAGTCAACTATGGACCTCTTTGCTGTTCGCACGGTGGCTAGTAAACGCTTATCCCACACAGAAAAAAGTCTGCAAGGCATCGCTTCGAACTAACAAATCGAAGGCATTGTGAAATTCACGACACATTGCTTTGTATCATACAGCAAAGAACTTCGTGATGCGAAGCATTACTTCACGGTACGAAGCAATTTCGCAATGCATTCAGTTTTTTTCTTTCAAGCTACAAAGCAAATGCCTCCGTAGGCATTCCAGTGTAGGTGCGACCTGCTGAGCGACGCACTATATCTTTTTAGAACACGAAATGTTGTGAACAATTTTGAACCACACATCATAGATTTTACTGCTCACGAACTTTTCGTACAATTTTGGTACGAAAAGCTGCACAGGGTCCCCTATTTTTGCCAAATTGCGTACAAATTTGCACAAAAAGTTCGTGTGCACTAAAAACTGGGATATCCTGTAAGAAATTTGTACAAAACCATTTAGAACGCGGAACACATTTCGTAAAGTAACACTAAGCCGATAATATTTCCAGGAGATTTACAATCAATCAGCTCCCTTACTGCACTCGATTATTCACAACGGTTAGAGAGATACGGCCACAAACCCACCCACAGTGCGTCGCCCATTGCGAAGCACACCTGCGATTCGTTGGGCTCACGTTGCTAGGCAACGGCGGTCCAAGAAGGGGGCCGTGGCAAGCCAAAGAGGTCTAGGTAAGTGTTATGAGCTTGGTCTTGCACGGAATTGAGCCGGCGAATGTTTTAAAACGGATGAGTCTGTGAGAAGGTATGTGTAATGGACTCAGGCTGAAGCACGCCTGCAGGTACACTCCACCTGGAACCAACCTGACACATACACTCAACGCTGCAGCTAAAGCATGCTTACCAAGTACACGCCAGGTGGCATACTTGCAAGCACACTGTTGTGCAGGTGAGAACGCCACCTGGCGTATGCTTTGCAGGCCTGCTTCAGCGTGTAGTGTACGTACATACCAGGTTGGCCCCAGGTGGAGTATACCTGCAAGCATGCTATACACGCACTTGAGCATGAAGAGTAAAACAAACTAAGTTGGTTAGTACTGGACATGCTCAAAATACTTCAAAAGGTTTAACAATACTGTAAAGTGAAACTAGCATGTCCTAGAAATATTTGACACGGAAAGTTCATTTTGTAGACAAAATTCAACCGCTGTTAGATGAATTTATTCCCAAAGTTGAGGGCCCCAACTCCTATTAGTTTCTGAGTTATGGAGGTTGACGTAAACTTTTAGTCGTTTCGCCCAAATTCTTGTCACGACAAAAGATAAGCTCGGATAAGCTACCCTGTCTTCAGATTCTGACTATAGCATCAATATTTGGAAAAGATAAAGGTAGCGTTCACAGATTAGAAAATATCTGTCCAGAAGAGACTGTACAAACTATTTTCCCAGGCCTATTATTATTTTTCTTTCCATTTGTGAGGTTTATGGCCATAGTGGTCTTTTATTTTGGTTATTCCGGATAACAATGGCAGATATTTAAAAAAGAGGCAACACCATCTTTTTCCTGTTCAAGAATAGGTATAATTGCCAGAATCGAAGACTGGGTAGCTAATCCTATGTCATGAGGAGAACTTGAGAGACACAACTTCACGTAAAAAGTTTACGTAAAACTCCATAACAGAAACTAATACAAGTTGAGCCCATAACTTTTAGTGAATGAGTTTCTGCAACAGAAAGCAACTTTCACCGGCCTATAAATTGGGATAACAGACACAAATATTTAAGAAAGGTCAGCCCCTTTGTTCACTATGAAGCGTGCACAAAATCTGTGACAAATAACACGCCTAGTTCATTCTCTAAACCCCCCAAAACAGTTTCATTTCCTGGCTTCTTAAGGAGAGAATAGTTACGGATTCGGCCATTTCAATATACCTGGAGTCCTCGTCGTCGTCATCACTATCATCGTCGTCTCCACCGAAACCGAGCCGCTGCGCGGTCTTCTTCTTGTCGCGCTTCTCCAGCGCCTTCGCAAGCGTGCCGTAGAACTTCATGAAGTCGCCCATCACGCCGGGGTTCGTCACCAGCTTGCCCAGGAACGTGTCGCCCATGTTGCCCCCCGACGACGAGGCGCCTCTCCCCCTGGCAGCGGCGCGGCGGCCTCCGCGCCCCCTGCTGGACGACGCCCTCGCGGACGGCGCGCCGCGACTGGAGCCCCGGGACGGACCGGCCTTGCCCTCCACGGCGGGATGTTCTTGGGCGGCATGGCGATCTGGAACAGAATAACATGAAATGCTTCCATCCGGCTAATCATGTGTACACCGCACTGTTAAAAAATAGCCGTGCATTTCAAAGAAAAAGGTACGGCTAGACCGTACCTCAGGGTGTACAGAACAACTAAACCCCAAAAACCGTGGCGGGGTTCCCACCAGTTTTCCCTTTTTTCTTTTTCCCCTGATTTTTCCCTGATATCCAGTGCAAAAATTACCTATTTACCCTGACATTATTTTCAAAATATATGTGCAGTTCCAGAGTCAATTGCATGCAGCTTCCACACGTGCGGCGTTCAAAATCCATACCTTGACGAACTTTTCAAATTTTCCCTGACCAAAATCGAATTTCCCTAACTTTCCCTGACTTCCAGTGCCTATTTTATTTCCCCTGACTTTTCCATGACTTCCCTGATTTCCCTGACCGGTGTGAACCCTGTGTGGTTCCCAAAAGAGCCCATGTCATGTAAAACCGTACACCGTACCCCGAAAGCCGTACTGGCTGAGGTACGGTGGTACCAGGCAAATTATGTACTAGACTGTGTCTGTGCCTTTTCCCTTTTCCCGCCTTTTCCTACGGTGCGATAGGCACTCGTACCAGGAACGTGATTCATCGTTAAAATGAAATGAATGTGACAGGATGTCACGATCCTTTGAGCATTGCGTCTGTGTCACGTTGGTTTGGACGTGAATCAGCCATAAATTAGCTTAGTCAACGAACGTGGCACAATGCTCAAAGGAGCGTGACGTTTCAACGTGATGTCACGTTCCTGGAATAGAGTAGTTGAGCTAACGCCGGACAAGAAGAAGAAAGGAAGAACAATGCTTCAAGAACATGGCCGCCAGGGGCTTTGTCGGCTGCTAGGCCCAATCAGGAGCCTCCGGCGGCCATATTCTTGAAGCATTTCTTCCTTTCTTCTTTTTGTCCGGCGTTAGCTCAACAACTCTATGAGAGTGGGGTATCGCGGAGAAGATCCACACCGGAAGTCAAATTGTGCCAAGGGGAAACTTGAGCAGCAGGGTGGCTGTGGGGGGTTGCTTGTCAGTGACTTCTGAATCCCAAGACTTCACTTCCGGTTCACGAAAGAGACTGCGTCGAAGATCCCTCACTCGGAAAAATCTACGTAGCATCAGCTTTGTAGCTGCATAGTAAATGAAAGCCTCGTAGTAATGCCTCACAGTACGAAAGATTTTTAAAAAGCATTTCCGAGGAGATTTTGAAAAGCCTTTTGAATTTCTTCGCAATACAAAGCGATACTTCGCCGACGTTTTCGCTGTGCGCGATAAAACAAATGCACCAAAAGCTGGGTCACTCCAGCCAATGAGACGCAGTCTTTCCGTAAGTGTGGGCGCTACTAGTGGTGAAAAGGCAGCTTCACATCGGCCGAAGCGACAGGACTTCCGGTCCACGTATTTCTCCGAGGGATTGGAGAGCAGCGAGCGAGCAAATTCATCCCCAGTCCACTATTCAACTGAACGATATTCATAACGACAGAATACATTTCATCACCGTGCGGTAATACCGGCAGAGAGAAACCTACTGTAAGCCCTACTGAAGCGGAAGACAAAAATCAAAGGATACCGTGAAGTGCGACAAGAAAAACTTTCACTCGTGGCAGGCAAGCTAGCTACACTGTAATAACATCTACGAAGAATCGCCTCATGACACGAAGGCAATGTGAAATCTGCGAACGCACTAAATGTCAAGGGAAATTTTTGGTCCCATGAATGGTGCAATTTCTAGCACATCCGACGCTGGTACTACGACTTTGAGTACGCCAGGCGGGACAAATTGTCTCATGAAAGTAAAATTTGGAGTAGTCGTCAGACAAAATATGTCGCCAGGCGAGCACAATATTATATCACGGTCCGATGAGCTTAAAATTGCATCATTCATGGAGCATGACGATTAGTGTGAAGAAATGCTTCGTAATATGAGGCGAAATCCTTCGTAGTATGAAGTAATTTTGAAGTAGCGCGTACGCTATTTTCAGTATCGCAACTATTTCAGTGGCACATCGCGACTCACCCTCACAAAATACAGGTGTGCGCTCACACAAGATCAAGTGAGATGTGCCACCATCAGGGATTTTCATGGGTGAACGCTAAAATAAACGTACACGCGTGAAAAACGGAACCTGGTTTTCCCAGGAAGCCAGGAACCGTTTCCAACGTGTAGGTGGGCAATTGCCACGATTCAGAATCACTACTCACCGAACTAGCCGGAGCCAAAAGTGTAGTCTGTTGAGAAATACAATCCCCTGGGTGACCCGCTTGTTCCTTGGAATCTCTGCCTGGAGTGCAGGTGCCTGTCCCGGTCTTGTCCGTTTCCGGGCTCTCTCGGTGTGTGTACCTTGTTGAGAAGGACGTATTAAATCTTGATCCCAAAGTTCATCGTGTTTCATTGTTATTCTAAATCCCCCAAAAAAGATATCACAACAGGTTATGGGCCCCGTAGTATTCTGCTTTAAAAATCAAGTGAAAAAAAAAAAAAAAACAAATTCAACTGTGGTTCGTGTGATACGAAAACTTAAAACTGTAAGTACATGTGCGAACTCCCGGTGGAGTCGAAATTTGGGTCTTGGAATTTGAGAGATTGTATTGTGCTTAAATTAACTCTTATGGACGGTACTTGTACTGGAATTTTGGGACCAGGCTGATCACCGGTTGGGAATACTCCAATAACTGGAGGAATACTCCAATAACTGGGGGAATACTCCAATAACTGGAGGAATGCTCCAATAACTGGAGGAATACTTCAATAACTGAAGGAAACTTCCAATAACTGGAAGGAACTCTGAAAAACAGGAGGAATGTACACTCTGGGTGGAAACCTTAGAGGAAGGAGATGTGCCCGGGCCCCAAGTGAGGTTAAACGGCCTTCTCAAACACGCGTGTTGCGCGGGAAAAGAGAGGTTAGGTGCCCTGTGGAGAGTGGTAACTATATGTGCTTTGTATTCTTCTAGGAACAATCATGGAGGATGAAAATCGCTTCCGTGTTCCGCTTTTGATGGCAGGAATTACGATGATTGGAAGTTCCGCATGGAAATGTTCCTCCCCAAGGAGGAGTGCGGAAATGGCCGAGACGGTTTTGGGTCGCTCCAGGCGCCACTGGAGGACCCTGAGGACGACTCGGACAGAGTTAGGCGGCGGAAGGCAGAGGCTCGGGAGGACGCCAGGAAGCGCGACCTAAAGTGCCTAAACTTTATTTTCAGCAGGGTCGCGGATTGTCAATTTAGTGTCTGAAAGGCACCAAAACCGCGAAGGAGGCATGGGATGCCTTGAAGTCAAACTTCGAGCGGTCGACATGCCTCAGCAGAGCGGCCATCATGAAA